GTCCCAGAAATCACACCGACTTCCGTATCTTGCATGAAAAAGGAAACACCTATATTTTTTTAAGAAAGTGAGAGGAGAAAAACGCGACGCCAGGAGGAGATGTCCGCCACCGCAACAGCAGCCCAACACTTGTCAAAGACTTCTCCGCTTCTCGCTCCTGCCATCGTCTCTGCGTATGCTGCTTACCGGTACGTATATCAGTTCTCTTAAGGGAAAATATTTCTCTGTTTTTTTGTTTTTCGAGAGAGCACGGGAAAGCAAGGGAAAGGAAATGACTTTTATATTTATTTTGTTTGATTTTTTTAATATAATTAAAGTTCTTACATTTTTATTCATGATTGTGTAATATATAGTGTAAAAAGTTGATTTTGTTGCTATTTTGAAATGTTTTTTCTTTTTTCAGGATTTGAAAAATATTGCTGATTTTATTATTGTGAAAATGGTTTGTTTTGAAGATTTTTTCAGGGCTTGATGTTCGAAAAAAGTGTTTCTTTTGATGCTTATTAATGGGACTTTGGAATAAATAAATAAATAAATAAAATTCATAGTATTTTGACAGGCTTAAGGACCAATTAGTGGATTTTTTAATCAATATAACTTTGTGGGATTTTGTGTTTAGAAATGAGCTTAATTATATTGAAAGAAAATTTGGGACTGAACATTTTTGGTTTCTGCGTCTGAATTATTATGTAGTTGCCATTGCCCAATTGATTGATCAAATAATTGGGACATCATTTGTTACACCATGTTTTTTTTTTTTTATTGAAAAACGTATTGACTTTGTGATTGGATAACAGTTTTGAGAGTTAATGAATCAATGTCAAGAGTATGCTGTTTTTATTACTTCTTTATTGTCATATCCGAGTATTGTAGGTTAATGTTTTTCCTTAAAATCATAGTTTTGGAGTGCTGAAGTAGAGGTATTTAGTCGTAAACGCAATCTAATAGAGGAAAATTGAGAGTTTAGTTCTAATTTGTTCTGTTTGTGCTGATGTTAATGTTATACTGATGACGGCAACCAGGTATAAGAGTGAGCTTGCATATGGATGTCAGGAGATCGTAGGGGCTAATAAGCCCTTCTCAAGCAGCTCCAGTGTAGCGTGTGAATCTAACTTGCCTGAATGGCCTACTTTGTCGATCAGCAGAAGCTCTCGTTTCAGATCTCATCAACAGCTTCATTGCTGGTCTTCTAAAGGTCATTAAATTTCTCTGATACTATATTCATTTAAATAAATTTTTGCTGTGACTGAATATGGATGTCTCTGGTAACCTTGTGTATTAGGGCTGAAAACAAGTCCCTAGATTTTTTTTTGAAGTTATCTGGTGTGCGTTAAGTTTAGACATCTACGATGAATGGGTGGTAAAATTTTTATATAAGCAGGATGTAGGTTGACGCCGCTCTCGGTTCTTCATGCTCAAGAAGCATTCGTAGAGCTATGGCAAGTTCTTATGTTAATAATGCAGCGGTACATGTCTGTATGAGCACCTCATCTAGCAGAATCCATCTTTACTGTAATTTTTTTACAGAGAATTAACATATTAATTCATTGCATCAGTATGATTATATTATTAGTGTAACAAATAATGTTTGTTTGGGCAAACTATTTTTACAGAGTTTCGTTAACAAAATGCTTACATGTTATTTTCTACAGAGCAATTAGTATGTCAATAGGCTGCATCTGTATAGATTTGCTAATAGAGAGAGAAGATCACCTGGTTGGATTATTTTTCTTACAGAGCTCGAGTGCTAAAACATGTGTGTGTTAATAGATGTTGAATTGTTTCATATGCAGTTATTGGGTGTTTAAACCATGTTAGTTGTTATGGTGGTGTTTTGTATCTTTATCTGTCTCTCTAGGTAAGGGTTTGATTATGTTGAGAAAAGGGTCAGGGGCTATATATGTTTCAGATAGAAATCTATGCATCGATTCTTTTCGAAGTTATGAGAACAAAAGGGGTTATATTTTGGTGATAATTGTGACTTGTGACATCAATTATTCATAATTGTAATTTCATTGCGATCGGCAGAGAACACAATGTTACATCTTCTGGCTGCGCACTCTTCAATGTTTGGAGACATGGAAGGTTTATTAGACACAATACCCTGGTCACCTGCACAACGAAGATCCATAAAGCCTCCTAGAGCAATGCATAAGAACGAACTTTTTGGTTTCCGCTACCCTGTATTAGCTGAGAAGCCTGAATGGTGGTGGAGGACGCTGGCATGTGTCCCTTATTTGATTGCTTTGCAAATATCAGATACAGGATATTTCATCCAACCCTTCCTTGAACACTACGATGTCCTGGGAGATTTGATATACTTTGTACCAGGAGCGATCACGAGATTACCTGTCTGGTTCTCTATGATATATTGCTACTTTGCTTACATTGGGATCGTGAAGAACAAAGATGTGCCTCACTTCTTTAGGTTCCATCTGATGATGGGCATGCTATTGGAAACAGGCCTACAGATCTTGTGGTATACAAGTAATTTCTTTCCTCTCATACACTTTAATGGTATGTTTGGGATGCATTACTGGGCAGGCGTGGGACTTGCCTACATTGTGATCTTGTTGCAGTGTGTAAGGTGTGCTCTTGCAGGCGGGTATGCTCACCTCCCTCTTGTTAGTGATGCTGCATATATTCATACTTTGTTTAACATCGGAGGGTACCAACGACCTTTCTAGATTTCTTTCTTATGAAAAGAGGAAGATCCACAGAGCTTGCATCTTCAGGTTGGAGGGACTACGATCCAGGAAGGACAATGTGATACACACTCTAAACATTGAGAAACAAAGAATAAGTAGGAAGAAAAGGGAGCAGAGCTGGTTCGTCTAGAAAAAAAAAAGTTGTATTCTACCATATTTTATATTGATTACCTCAATGATTCTGTATTCCTAATGTGTGTTTGAGAAGATATATATGGTCGATGTTAGGATGCTGCAGTTGATGCATGTTATTTGTTGCATTATAAGGCCTGGTAATCCAGATGTTTGATGATCTGAAGTTTGCAGGATTCTTTTCTATCTACTCCATGAAATGTTTGCTATGTCCATCGGCAGCTTATGTATTGGTATGTTTCCAGAGGCGACGACATGCTTTCTAGCCTGAATATTCTGGGGGATGTTATTAATAAATTCCATTCTGCAGTGATCCCAGTTAAGGTCCAAATCAAGGATTGTTGCATCATTGATAAATGTCACAAATGTATTGGAAGTGAAAATATGCGAAGGATTTGCAGTGAATGACGAGCCCTAAATTCACAATAACTAATGGCTTGGTGACTGTGACGTACAGAAGCTCGACAATAGCATGTGAAGATGTCCATTTCTGAGAATGGTGGATGCAGATGGCTGAAAAAAACTATTACCTTTGTCGTATGTGCTCTCCTTCACTGTAAGGCAGATACAAGCCTTGAATTAGCCAAAAATAAATTTTTATGTTCACTTCAATCAAACATGTTTATATCTCTATAAAATACAAACTTAAGTAATCTTCACACTTCATTTCCTACTGATTTCTTATCGTTTCTAACCTTTTCTTGAGAATTATTTGTCTAAATCAGTTTCAGGCTCAGCTGTAAAAAAATCATGCACCAAGATTCTCAATAATGCCCCATCAATTCTCCCAAAAAGCAAGTGATTATGCCATCAATAATTTCATTAGTGTCACTTTTCATCCTCAGCATTCAACAATTAATCTTCTCTGCAATGCAAAAGTTCTTTGGTTGGGGCAACACTTTTCCAAGAATGTGCCTTAACCTTCCACTTTTCAGAGAGAACACCTGTCATTGGAATAGGAAGAAAGCAACATCTATGAAATCTCTGTGGCTTCCTCTTTCCTTATTTCCTACCCTTAATCTTCCATTCCAAGGAAAGAAAGATCTTAATTGAGAATAACTATAGAAAGCCAGTTTTCAGTTATGATTCGGCATCAATAAATTTTTGAAAAATCAAAGTTCCATTTCTATAAAAATATTTTCAATGCTCAAACTTTTTACTTACAATCTAGTTTAATAATTTTATTTATAGTTATAAAACTTGATCTAATATTTATGATTTGATTTAAATATGATTAGATTATAAATCAAGAGAATTAATTCACATCAATCTAATTTTTTTAAAATATTAAAACAATATTATCTTAAAAAAATTAAAAAAAAAGTTAATGGATTGAAGGCTGAGTTTTACATCAAGTTGCAAATCAATTGATTGTAAGTTAATTTAATTATGTGTCAATTTTGATTTTTAACTGATTCAAGCTTATTCTTTTTTTCAACTCAAATCAAATCGATCCAAACCCTGAATCAATCTAATGAACCTGATTCTAGTTTGATCCGCTAAGTGATTTGCATTTTACAACTAGGCTTTTAACCGCAATGATACAAAACCTCAAGATCAACTATTTAGCTGTTTCCTAAAAGATTAGCAGCCTTGATTATGAAAGGCCAAGCTGTCCCTGTTTATGCATCACAACCGCTAACTTAACATCACAGAAATTGACCATTTATATGCCTCAACTCCAAATTAATTAGAGTGAATTTAACGGGTGTTCATGGGACGTTTTAACCGGAGTTTGGGAAAATTTTGAATTTTGTATTTTGAATTGTTTTAATATTTTGATGTTAAAATAAAATTTTTAAAAATAAAAAAATATATATTATTTTAATGCATTTCTAAAAAATCATTATTATTATCTTAAACACACTCTTAAAATATTATAAAAAGGAATAATATTTTAAAATGATAACCAAACAATACAAGATGAGCTTCTCTTTGTTGCGTGATTCAAATGAAAAGACTTTTTATATGCAAATGCTAAAAAATATAGTGATTAAGTTATAGTTTTCTACACTAGAGGGACTAACTATTTAATGTATTTAAATGTTAGGGATTAAATTATAACTTGCTAAATTAATTAATTATTAGTACCTACACAAAACCACAATAAACCAAAACAATTTCCCACTCTAAAAAAAAATAAAATAAAATAAAATAAAAATTTCCCACTCTAAAATCCATGTTCCATAACAATCATAACTGTATTTGCAGCCTGTACCTCTCCAAAGAAAAGTAGACTTCTTTCAACACACAAAACCCCCAAAAATAAATATCAAAAACTAAAATCTTGAAACTCGAGATCAAATCATATTTCAGATCCCAATCTCAAGTTCTCAACTTTTCATGATCTGGGTCATATAGAAAGTTACTTTCTTTGGAACCAAACAGTGCTTAAAAGTTTGAGATGAGGAGGAGACCAGTGGACTTTAGGAGGCCAGTAAGGAGGAGGATATCAAGTGTGGTGTGGTGGACTTTGTGTGGTATATCTGTGTTGCTGTTTATAGTTATTTTTAGCAAAGAGAGTCGTATTGAATCAAGATCCACCAGCTTTAATAAGGTAAAGATCTGTGCTTTACTGTTTATTTTATTATTTTGGGTAGTTGTCAATGTGTTTGGTTGCTGAAAATGTAGGAATTTTCAAGGGAATCAGTGTTTTGAGTTCTGGGATTCTTATGATTTGGGATTTGAAGATATAATAATTTTATTTGGGTTTTGGTTGGTACTGTTAATGGGCTTGATGAAGATTGAGATATACAATTCTGGGGTTGTAGCTGTATTATGACGTGATTGTTAGCTTAGATTGCTATTTTTTGCTTGTATGTGCTATTGTGCTGTTGGGTTTGTCTTTATGTGTAGAATGGATTTATTTTTTTTGATCCGTGACTTTGCTTGAGCTAGATGGAGTTATACCCTACATGATAAAAGGGCTGCATTAACTATTAGATGTGAATAAATTGTCTTAAAATCTTTAGCTTGCATTTCATGATTGTATTGTTAGGATATGCCATATGCTTCCAATAGCTTAATAGGTACTGTTCCTTAGTGGAGGCAATGGCTTTGATCCAGCCTGGTAATATGATTCAGGCTGTTGAATTAAATGACCTTCTTAGGTATTGATTTGAGAAAGTTATGTTTAAGGCACTGTGTGCACGTGCCATAGATTGCTTCAATATCGTACATGTGAAGCACAAACAAAGTTAGCAGGGCATTGAGATTGAAGGGATTTTGTATAAATACCTTAATGGGGCACTTGCTCCATGTATATTGTAATGTTGATAAGAGGGTAGAATATTTAGGCATTGTTTGGTAGCGCAGTTGGCCACGCTACCAAACAGGCAGTTAATAATAGGATGTTATACTGTATGGGAAAATGAGAAAAGAATGAGTAATAGGTGGTTGTTATTTGTATGCAGAACAAATTGAATAACTTTTTCTGGAGATGAGTTTGATAACTTACCTGAGTTATATGGGAAAGAATTTTGAGAGAAGCAAACAAAATTATATTTATGAAAGATCTGTTCTTTTAAGTATTTTTCTATTCAAGTATCCAATGTGCTGCTAAAATTTAGTTTTATTAGCGAAAGGAACTTGTAAAGAAAGATGAATGGCTTGCTATATAAGAAGAAATATGTGTGTTTTGAGGTTTTATTTATAAGAGCATCAAACAAACTGTGATCTAAAGGATTTGAGTTGTGTTTTTGAGGACAATGGTAAGAAATGCTAATCATGATTAAACATGCACCTCATGTGCAAGCTTTTTGATGTTATTATTTCAGAGACAGCTGACATGCCACATATTCGTGATATCATAGAATACCTGGCATTTTGTGACTTTATGTCTTCATATATTGATGTGATTGGATTTTTTTTATAGCAACTGGTGAAATATTCTGTGTTTTATATCAATCTGCATGAGATGGGGAATCAAATGGAACTAAGTTGTTTCCCTCTCTGTTGTGTTTATATTCTGTTTAGTTTAGTTTTGTTGCTTTTATTGTAGCAAACTCTCTTCATTCTTTGAAAACTGTTATTTTAGTTGATCAATGAAATTTTTGCTTTTTGTTCTTAGAAAAAAAGGGTTAAATATTGTTGATGTATAACAACCTTATGGACAAGTGTCTTCCTGGCTCCTCTATCATTTTCTTTGAGTGTAAGTTAAACTCCAGTATTGGGCAATGATGAAACTTACATACCGGGGTCATACTGCTGAACTGTAGATTAGAAAATGATTAATTTACACACTAAACAAACTCACAAAGAGAGAGAGAGCAAAATAGCCCAAAATTTGAAAGTAATGGCAGCTACCCCACTCTCAGTTTGTGTGTTTTCCATGCCACCAAAGTTGTTATCTTCAACAACACTACCTTGTTTGTCATGTTTGTTTTTTTTACTCTGTATTTTCTTTTTAACCGTAAACTTTAGAAGTGAAGGTATCTGTGTCTATATTCACAATAACAGCAATTTCTTTCAGTAGTATATGCGTTGGATTTACTGCTATATTCAGCAAGTGATCTCAAACTGTAAACCACGTGTTTGAGCTTCTGAGCATTTATTCTTAATTTTTATTTTGATAATAATCATGCTGTATTCCTTGCATTCCCTGTTTCTGCTCCTGTGCCAGCTTATCTCCTTGAAATTAAAAACACTGATTCTTTTTCTTTCTGCAGTACTATACGAAGTATGAGAAAAACATTGAAGGCCTAAACATTACAGAGGAAATGTTGAGCCCCAACTCAATCACTAGGCAACTTAGTGACCAAATTTCTCTTGCAAAAGCTTTTGTTGTGATTGCAAAAGAAAGTAACAATCTTCAGTTTGCTTGGGAATTAAGTGCCCAAATCCGCAATTCCCAGGTCCTCCTTTCAAGTGCTGCAACGAGACGAGCTCCTTTAACCACCAGGGAATCAGAAACTGCTATCCGTGACATGGCACTTTTGCTCTTCCAAGCCCAGCAACTTCATTATGATAGTGCAACTATGATTATGAGACTTAAAGCCAAAATCCAAGTTCTTGATGAACAAATGGGTATTGTGAATGAGAAAAGCTCTAAGTATGGTCAAATAGCTGCTGAAGAAATCCCAAAAGGACTTTACTGCATTGGTATTCGGCTAACTACTGAATGGTTTGGAAATCCAAATCTACAGAGAAAAAAGAATGAGAGAATGCAAATTCAGACAAAACTTAGAGATAGCAACCTCTATCATTTCTGCGTCTTCTCTGACAATATCCTTGCAACTTCAGTTGTTGTCAATTCAACTGCTTTAAATTCCAAGAATCCAGATATGGTTGGGTTTCATCTTGTAACTGATGAAATAAACTACATCGCAATGAAGGCTTGGTTTGCCATGAACACTTTCCGAGGAGTTACTGTTGAGGTTCAGAAGTTTGAAGACTTCAAATGGCTAAATGCTTCTTATGTTCCAGTGCTTAAGCAGCTCCAAGACTCTGAAACTCAAAGCTATTACTTTTCAGGCCATAATGATGATGGCCGGACTCCAATCAAGTTCCGGAACCCAAAATATCTATCTATGCTTAATCACCTCAGATTTTATATTCCTGAAGTTTTTCCTGCATTGAAGAAGGTGGTATTTCTTGATGATGATGTAGTTGTTCAGAAAGATTTATCTGGTCTGTTTTCAGTTGACTTGAACAGCAACGTTAATGGAGCAGTTGAGACATGCATGGAGACATTTCACAGATACCACAAGTACCTGAACTACTCTCACCCTCTTATTAGAGAACATTTTGATCCTGATGCGTGTGGTTGGGCATTTGGAATGAATGTTTTTGATTTGGTTGAGTGGAGGAAGCGAAATGTAACTGAAATCTACCACTACTGGCAAGAAAAGAATGTGGATCGGACACTCTGGAAACTTGGGACACTACCTCCTGGACTTTTGACTTTCTATGGGTTGACAGAGCCATTAGACCCCTCATGGCATGTGTTGGGATTGGGCTATACAAATGTTGATCCTCACTTGATAGAGAAAGGGGCAGTGTTGCACTTCAATGGAAACTCCAAGCCATGGTTGAAAATTGGGATGGAAAAATACAAGTCTCTCTGGGAAAAGTACGTAGACTATAGTCATCCTTTATTACAACAGTGCAATTTTCATTGATTTTGGAAATGGAAGCTTCATATTTTCCCTGGTGCGTAAGAACATCAAAATTTTGTAGATCAAGTATGCTTGCACAATTTTTACAGGATCAAGCACGGCCGTTGGTTGTAAAAGTGCCTGTTGTAGTATAGAATGTTAATTTAACATCATTTATTCAAGCATTACTGCCTACTGCCGAGCAAGTCTTTTCAGTTTATTATGCTGGCTAGCTTTAAGCTCAAACCAGCATTCATCCATTATAGTTTTACTTGATCTTCTTTCCCTTTTCCAACACCTCTTCACGATATTTATATTGCGGGTTTGCTTCTTCTGGAGTTTAGTAAGTAGTAAGGGGCTTTTGAATCTTTCTCATTCATTCTTTCTGGTTTCTAGTATCAACTTTACTTTTCTTTTGTGGTTTCTCTCAAACACAGATGTAGTTGTTATTCATTTCCCAACATTTTATTCCTCTGATGAAGTTTCCCTCCTCCTCCCTTTCCCTCCCAATCGGCACTAATAAGGTGATTGATGAGAGAATATTATTGATTTATTAGGTCGAATTTAGACCATGAAGGCTTCAAGTAACTGGTACTCTCACTCCCTATGAGGGAGGTCTCAGGTTTTGAGTGTATAAAAAATTCTCACTCCTGGAAATGGAACGTATAGTTGGGCTGGGAAGAGAATTGGACTTGGGATATAGTGCTGACCTTGATGTAACCCACTGGCTCATTGCCTTAGCAGAACAATGGTCATTTAGAGTACTTGCGTAGGTGCCAAAGCCTTATCAGCAAACCCCTTGTGCATTCAGATTATCAACCAAGGAGCCTTCGTAATGGCAGGCTCCAAGACAAAAATTTTGGTCCCTCAAAATGAATGCAGGGAGAATGCAAATAAACTATGGAGCTTGGTAATATTTATATTGAAACAATCCTGGCCACAAGAAATGGAGCTTTGGCTTCTCAGTCACCATTGCCAAATGTTTAAGTTGACAAAACCTGAAGTCAAATGAAAAAACAAATCGATTACTTTTGGGGAAAAAATGATTGCCACTTGGCAGAATCCCAGGGAGACCACTTGGAAACACGAAAATGCTGGCAATCAAGAAGTAACCATCGAACAACAACACGACTTCACCTTGGTCTCCTACTTCCTGAACTTCCTGAAGCTTCTCAGGAAGTCCAACAGAATATTTTCATTTCCAACATTACCCTGCTTAAATGAGAAGTAAAAACACCGTCAATGGAATCCTGACAGTAATTTCAAGCTAAAAACGCAATGCAAACTCCATTAATCATCATTATTAATCACAATGTGGCTTTATAGGTCAAGTCAATGACCAGTAAAATCAGATCCAATTCAAATTTTATTTTAACTTTTTTTTATATTAAATTAATTAAATAAAAGTGATCTAATTATTTGAATGATATACCAACAAGGTCTCGAAGATGGACAGTAGATGCTAGTGTTCAATCTGCAGTATCATTAGATGCTTCTCGAAAACTTAACTTACAATAAAAAATTGTGATAAAGAGAGCAAATTCACTTACAGGGTAATGTAAACGAGAGCACAAACAAGAAGAAAAGAGAATAGAAATAGCAAATTCACTTACAGGATGATGTCAGTGGGAAGCAAGGTAAAGTTGATGAACTTTTAAATTTCGAAACCACAATCAAGTCGGTTGAGGACGACAGGTGTTGAGAAATTGCTGGATATGGGTCTAGACTTGTTTAAGGATAAAAAATCTCTGTCATCTAGTTCATTGCTCTCATGATCTGGGAATGTTGAGAACATTCATCAGCCAAGAAGGCTTCACGTTCGGCTGATGCAATGGCGGTATGCCAACGATAGGGCTGATACTAAGCAAGTGGAGGTATGCATGATTAACTTAACTGATCAATTAATGTTAGGAAACAATCTATCACTTGTTTACACTTATTAATTCAAGATTGATTTTTTGAAATAAAATGTCTACTTGTTGATCTGAGATAGAAACTATGCTCAATCAAGAAAGATTAATACCAAATATGGTTGCAATTGCCAGGGTTCTAACCTATCAACTAGTAAAAAGTTCCTCAACAGTAATTGGAGTCTGAGAAAAAATTCTTTCTGACGGTTTTGCAGAACAAATTTTTATATGCATGGAACAGTCGTTCAAAGTTTCGACGCTCGGTGCAAAAGAAAATAAGCTTCAGATGGAAAAACTCGAGATGAAGCTGAACTTTATTCTTCATTATCGAATCATGAACAAATCTTCTTGCATGATGAATTAATAATGCCCGTGCAGAAATATCAAATATAATGTAACACCAAGATAGAGCATACAAGTTCATGGACTCGCTTCCGATAACTTGTGTAGATCAAATTGCTGGAAGCTTGGGGAGAAATGGAAAGGCAGGACTTATCTCCAGCTTCAAAGACCAAAGAGTGTTCACATTCTGTCATTCGCAGAGCACCCCTTATTGAAGGTGCAAAGGTAAGCCTAGAAAAGAAGAGACGAATCGAAACCCCTTCTAGCAGCTACTGTTAAACCAGTTCAGCTAAGCAATAAGTGATTTTACTAGCAAATCCAGAATTATAGGTGGAACCAAACTTGGTTTTGCTCGCAATTCAGCATGCTTCGGATCTCTCAGCTTCCATCAAAGTCAACAATGTCTACATTTTCACCTTCAGTAAGCAGCAGCTATTAAAGCAATACTGCGTTGGTGCTTGAAGCCTCCTGTTTATGTCATCTGAGCTAAGTTCTCTCGCATCAGGCTGAGCAGACTGTTGGGCTGCAATCACAACTAGCAGAGGTGGCTGCACAAGAGAAGTTACTAATCGAAGAGTGCCTAGAACTTCGTCAGACAGTATCTATACTACAGTTTCAGAGCTGAACACTTGTCGATCATAGTGATCTCAGCAAACGCAAAGCTGATGTCTAGTTTCTGCCAGGTTAAAGGCTAACAAGTCAATGCTTAGTACGAAGTAAAGATTACGCAGAAGTATAATTCTTATGAATTCTTTAGATACAACACGGATAGCCAAACTTTAATTAAAATAAAGAGATGATGGATTGATACAAAAAATTAACTCGAAATTACCATTGACTATTTAAAAAACAAGAAGTATACTTCAGAAAACTAGTCGGATAATATCACGTAAAAGTAAAAAATAAAAAAAAAATGTGCTTTTACTTTTTTTACCAACTTGTGCGACATTTTTTACACCATGTAAAATCATAGGTATCAGATTTGTTTAAGTGTGTTTAGTAATGTTGTAGATAGTGCTTTGTTAAAAAAATATTTAATTAAAAAAATATATTTTCATGTGTATTATTTTTATTTTTATTTTTAATATCAATTTATCAAAATCATAAAAAAAAACACCCTAAAAACATTAATATAATATTTTTAAAGCAAAAAACATATTGAAAAATATATTGAACCCCCAAAACTAATACTTCCTAAGCTAATTATAAAAGTTGTCTAGGATGATCCACAATTCATCAACCCGAAGCATGATTTGTGTTAGGTTTTTTAAAAATTTATTTAGAAGATTAATCCGATTAAATTCAAGTAATTTAAATGATGATTAACTTGTTTGGGTCAAATTAAAAAAAATTCTTTTAAAACAATGTTGTTAAAGTTTTTTTTTTGTTTAAAGTAATATTTTTAAAAAACATTCAAATTGATTCATTTACCCTTAATTTATTTTTTTATAAATCCAAGTTGTTTTAAATTTTCACTTTTAGTCAACAAACGACACGAGCAAGGTACGATAAGAACGCATAGAATGGCATAGAAGCTCCGAAGTCCAATCAAGAAGCAAATTCCCCGGAAAGCTAACTGACAAGTCGTTCAGTTCCATATTTGACGAAAACGAACAAACTCAGTGTCTTTCCAAGTTTTCCACTCTCCCCCTTCTTTTAAGCAAAAATTTACCATCTTCTACTCTCGTCTCCATTTCTCCTCTCTATCGATCTCTACAAAGAAAGAAAAGAAATCCATGGCCACATTAGCGGCGGCGGCAGCTCGACAAGCCGTCACTCTCTCCCGAATCTCCTCTCCCAAGACACCCGCTCAAGCTGCCGCCCTCATCCACCGCCGCGGCCTCGCTGGTGCTGCAGGTAAACCCATCCCGCAAAACACATACACATACTAACATATATGACATATAAATTTACGAACAAACATCCACGCCTACATATGTATTCATGCTGTCGTTCTGTATCACCCTGCCGTAGATCAGAAACTGATTAAATTCATTATTTTTTTTAAAGCTGCAATCTTTAGCTCAGTCGTTGAAAATTTTGAGCTTAATTAAATCTTGAAATTAAAGTTTGCAGTGGAAATAATAGATTATTAAATTTTCTAGGAAAAAAATAAATGATAGATTTTTGCTTGGAGATTGTGAGTTTTACATTATGTTTGTTGATAATTGCAGACCACCATGGACCACCGAGGATTAACTGCTGGCAAGATCCAATGAGCCCATCAAAGTGGAAGGAAGAGCATGTTAGTCATTTGCATTTTATATTATACTATACTATATGTTTGATGATATAAAGTTTTTATATTTGTTTAAAAACGAATCTGCTCGATTTATTTCCCACATTTTTTTCACGAAAGGTTTTTTTTCCATAACAAAAGTATTTTGATTGTGTATTTTTCAGAATTTTGTGTATTTATGGAATATTAGAGCGTTGTCTTTTTGGAGTAGTATTGCTGGTAGTGTTGTCATTTTATATATATGAAGAAAATAAAACTTTTGAATTTGAGTTATATTCAGTGATTGAATAGTTATATGGTGTTTTATGGGAGTTTTCATGTTTGGTTCCTTTTATACGAGTTTCTTGTCAATGTCTTTACCACGTTGATTTTGTTAATGTTGGTGGGGAAGTGGATATGATGGAAGGTATGTGTGTCATATGAGTTGTCTTGATTGTTTGTTGGATGTTGAATTGCAGTTTGTTATTGTCTCTTTAAGCGGCTGGGGTGTACTCTTCTATGGGGGTTACAAGTTCTTTACAGGAGGCAAGAGCAATAAGGAAGAGGTACATTTGGATATATAATTTTTTCACTGTCTCTACCTTATACTCTACTGTTATTTCTTCTTTTTCCATCAGAAAATTGGAATGGTGTCTTTGCTCTGTTTATCCCACTTTTTAACAGATGGTCATCTTCAATTATTATGATATTTAGCAACCATGTTTCAAAATACATAGGCTTGTGCATTTTTCAAGATAGAGATATTCTTTTTTTTTTTAATATGTACAATAGGCAAAGTATTGAATCGTTTCTTTAATAGTTGGAAATCCAATAGTAGACAAATAAAATGGGACTATTGTTGCCAAAGGTTCAAAGTGCCTTAAGGTGTTATGGCCAGCTAGTTTGATAAGACGACTTTCCGCAACTAAGAGAATAGGAATTGAAAAAAAAAAGGCTGTAAAAAATTGCACATCAGTGTAATAGTTTGTATGTTGGAAAGAAAATACTGCAGCAGCATAAGGAGAATAGGAATTGGAAAAAAAAGAGGTAATTTTTAGGCATTCTAATAACTTAGAAAGCTACAAGTCAAGAGATGAAAGAAAATGATGGAGAAAGAGAGGAACTAATTAGAAGGGAGATGAAAGAATTGCATAACAGATTATCAAACTATCTAAATACCTATTTTTTACTGTTCATGCACCAATAGGTGGTCCATTTGCTCTTTGATCAAAGGAAGTATGTTTGTTTTGTATTTTCATTAACTTTAGAAAATACCTTTTAAGACAGCTATTAAATAAGGGTAATATCAAAAAAAAAAAAAAACCTTAAGGGTAATGTTATGAAAGTAGTGCAAAACAATTTCAAACACAATTATCTCTAGAAGGTTCCTAGGAAATGCCTCAAGTACATAGTGCCTAGCTCTAAGTACCCAGATAAAAAGCTTTCAAGTCACCAAGTCATCATCTGGGGCGCCTAGGCAAACACATGGGATCTTTAACTTTGAATTGCACGGAGGACGGTTAAGTCTTCTCCACAATCAATGCCTATTCTCATTTTCTCTTCTTTGAAGTCTCACTCTTTCTCTTTTCATTTGTCGTTTTACATACCAGGAAAAGCTTCTTCAATCTTGTGCTAAACAATTTGATTGTGTGATACACGATTATCCAAGGACTTAACTTGCGAACAGTCATGTGTACATCGTTTGACTCTTAAGAATTTCTAAATGTATGGACCTCATAAATATTGATGATATATAAAAAGGCAATGATCATATTGAATATGGCTGCACCTAACACATCACTACACCAATTATCTTAAGAGGGAATCTGGCTATCAGGAGAGAGATTGTGCCCAAGTATAGTGTATGACATAGAGTAGTAGCAAGACCAAAGTTTGAGGCTAGTTTTTGTCTTTAATGGGGATATCGAGGCTTATAGATGGAATGCCATTTAGGAGAACACAGTTCCACAATTATGATGTTACCAATTGCTCAAGCCATTTGCTAACTTGATATTTCATGGCTATTGAGCAAAGAGATCATTAGCTGAATGTGGTTTTAATTTTAGGAAAACTAACAATTTGAACTCATAAATCAAACTCATGATGGAATGTAACTTGTAATAAAAAAAAAAATTAAACCAATTTTAGCTAGAATTATTCTGAGATTGCAGTTTTTTTTTTTCCCTTACATTTGATTGTTGTTTACAGAAACCATTGGAAGCAGCACACTGAGGCTTGAAGTGTGTAATCGCGCCATGACATTTCTGGTAATAATGTGTTCGGCTGTACTTCACATGTCATGGGATCAATTTTCCTTGTTTGTAGATGATACTACAAAAGTATTGTGATTTGTTTTAGTGATGGATGATTAAACTTGGAAGTTAAATTGCTTATTTTGGTAAGAAAATAAGCCCTTTACATTGGCATAGCCATTTTGTTGTCACTCTAATGGTTTGATTTTTACTATATTCTGATTATCACATGCTATCTTCTCCAAGTTCAAATTCAATTAATGGTAGTGCAACAAATTACAGGTTTATGTTGAGTCTTCATTTTTCCTTTTTTCTTTTTGCTGTAAACCGAAATGATGTTTACTTATAAGGATAAACAAAATGCTAAGCAGACCTCACCCTTTGAAGAGTAATGCGATAGGCATCATGCTAGCAGGAAATACATTTTCTTTTTTATATCAACAGGTTACCCGAATAGACAATGTGGCAGCTTTTGGAACTAATCATATAAACAATGGCATTTGTTTTCTTATCAACTAGTCATCTGTATTCATTATCTCATGGGAACGTATTTTGTTGAGTTTTGTTGCCCTAGAGGATTCTATATGCTAGATTATGCCCATCATGTCTGAGACTGACGCCGGATTGCTTTCTGGAAGTGCATCATTTCTTTGTATGGCTCAACCAACAAGGAACAGAAGTTTGATATTATTACAGTCCTTGGTTCAGCGTGTCAAGTTGACACTTTGTTGACCTGAAGCTTTGTAGAGAAAGTAATTGAAGCGAGGACAAATATGAAAAATTAATCTCTGGTCTGGAGAAATTAATGATAGGTTATTTAAAAGAACGAGTTGACAACAATGGAGCAATGTTGCTATCTGGAAGAAATGGATGCGAAAGGGGTGAAAATCCCTACCACCTGGTTTTTATTTGAAGCTTACTCTCATGGGCATTTCGGTTCTATTTGACCAGCAGTCTCCTGCAAATTTTGTATTGTATTTTTGGATTACGGATGGTAATTCCAATACATCTCTAGTTTTAAACACTAAGCAAACTTGATAACTGTCCTAACAGTCGTGAAGATAGATATTTAAAACCTTTACAGTAAGCAAGAATATTAAATGCTGGTAATCAGCTAGAAGTCGGACTCATCAGTTTCCTCTCTGTACTCTTCTTTATCCTCTTCTAAATCAGAAACTGATTCCTTGAAAAAATCTCCAGCACCTTCATCGGTCTTGTGTTCTACACCTGAATCCTCCATTTGTTCTTGCCTTTCATGCTTGCTGATAGTTATCGCTTGTTCATCACTGTTTTCTTTAGTGTTCATATTGCTACTGTTTCGGCTTTCTTCCATGCCTCTGGCTTGTTGCTGATCTTCATCCACGCTCTGTTTTCTGATGTTACGGAGCTGGCCATCAAGGCTTCCATTTGTCAGCACTTTGGCGTCATGAGCTACTGGGATCCTTTTCATTGTCTCATGAACTTCTCTCATCTGCTGATTTTGTCGATCTTCCCCAAGTTTGTTTTCCAGGTCCTTAGAGTCTTCATGGTTTTGATGCTCAATTGATTTGGTTTTAGAAGAACCTACTGCCTTTGTTATTTCTTCTGTTGTTCCATCAATAGATGCTCTACCCCCTTCTCTGTATATCAGTCTACCTTGATCATCCATAGGAAATTTTCTATTTCTTGTCTTCTCAGCAACATTGTTTACATCATTTCTGCTCTCCAGCAGCCTATTCTTGGCAACCACTGTCCTTCTCTTTCCTCGTGCTCTGCTAGCTTGGTGGTACTTCTCCTTCCCCCTACTTCTGGAGTTATCCATCATTTCCCGCTTCGCACCACCTCTTAATGTTTCTTGACGATCTTCTACCTCCTGAGTATTTTTAAGCCCAGGGTGCCCATCTAGGTTAAATTTATGCTCTTCTCTATCCCTTGATTTCTCATCACTATGTGCATCAGCAGTTTTTGATGCTCTGCCGATTCTGCTGACAATTGTCTCGGTTGCATTTGAAGTGTTATTTTCCTCTCTTGCACCAGAAGCACGCTTCCCTTGAGAACTTTCATTTTCATACTCTTGATCCTTATCGATGCCACTGGAACTTCCATTTCTAGATCCATCAAGTTTCTGTGATTCCTTTTCCTCTGACACTTCTCTCCTGTCTGCAATGCCTACCCTGCTTTCACTTGCATTTTCATCTATGGCAGTATCACCCTGCTTTTCTAGACTGGTGGAAGTAGAGTTGCCTCCATTGCCCCTTGAATCCAAACCATTGCCATCATATGCAGTTTCATGCAATTGAACCTCCTCTTCTCTAGTCTTATCGACTTCTATGTTACCATCGTTTACCATGTTTGAGGATACAGTCATGTTTACTGGTGGGCTTGATGGGTCGTCTGTGCTCAATGACCATTTCTTAGCTGGGTATTCAAGGTGGTGCTTCAATTCCTCAATTTCAGCTTCCTTTTTTTTCAGACTTTCTATAAGATCCGCCATTTGAAGGTTTCCTTTATCTGCATCAATGTTCATCTCTCTTAGCATTTTGATTTTTTCAGACTTTCTATAAGATCCGCCAGTTGAAGGTTTCCTTTATCTGCGTCAATGTTCATCTCTCTTAGCATTTTGATCTCATTTCGCTTCTCCTCGAGGGCAGACTCCATAATCTTTTGTTCATCCTTTATGGAATCAATTGTGGACTGCAACTCCAGCTGCCTCCTGTCAAGCTCCATCTTTTGGGTTCTTAGAGAGTATATCTTCCCTTTCATCTCTTCTGCCTTTCTTTTCATTTCTTTGCTGCGTTCTCTTTCCTTCTGAGTATGGAAAAGAAAAGATGTGACAACTTTTAGTGCTAAAAATCTAGAAAGAATTATACATCATGATCTAGATTATACACCGCAAAGCAAGTTAAGCTTCTAATTTTCTGAGTGTCGTCATGTGTGCGTGCCTTTTTTTTAACCATAATCATGGCGCCCTAGTTTCTGAGTATGGAGAGTGGGTTTGGAAACCATATAATCGAGTACATTGCATCTTTAGGATAGTTATGAAACCGACATGGCTAGCTGATTGATAGGTTTTGGCCGAGTTTTAAATAAACAAAACTCAAATTTGTGATTGATCTGATCAAATTTAAGTAATTTGCTGAGTCATTCTAAAATTCAGATGACATGATATAACTTAAATGAATTAACCTAATTTTTTCATATTTTTTAATAAATTCAAAAAATACAAAATTAATCTATAAATGCTTAGCCATATTTTGTAAAACATTATTTCTTAATTTTTCAATGTGGAATAATTATATACATATTTATTTTCTCAAAAAATATTTTCTAATTTTTCAATGTAAAACAGCTATATATATCATCTATTTTCAAATTTAAAATAGCTATATATAACCCAAATCTATATTACTTATTTATTAACTTTTCCACATGAGTTATTAAAATCTCAAATTTTTTTTTAATTGACTTGTGACCGACCCCTTGGTATGATTTTAAGGATATAAGGAATAAAATCAAGAGAAAAGTGAAGTGATGCCGGAGGTTAAAATATAGAGGAGCAACTGAGTTCCACAACTGAATCAGGAAAATTAGAAACTGATAATGCACAAACAATTGCAGATGATGCATTAGGTTTTTTTTTTTTTTTTTGAACTCTTCCTCGTTTTAGTTGTTAGTGTGTTGAATGGGGGAGTTTTTTCGTCGTCTTCTCTTGCTGCTATGTACATAATAATTTGTCATGTGTATGCATGTGATCTTAACTACATAGCTTGCGTTGAATTGTTGATTGAGAGCTAAAATTATGGTGGCAATTTGCCAAGTGATGGACAGAGGAAGGGAAGCCACTCCTGAACCATGTGATTTACACAATATAGTAAGGGAATTTAATATAATATTTCATGGGATTTGTGCTTAATAAAACACAAGATTAGTTTGGTCCCTTTCAACTGATCTGTACCAGAAGAATTTAATGTACCAGAAATATTTTAACAAAAATCTCCATCTTGTGAAATGTCATCACATCACAGGACCTTCCTAACCAAATGACTAGTCCTGAACATGCAAATTGCATCTAGCAAGTTGTATAGGCAGATAATCATTCTTTACAGGGGAGGTTTTCAACCTTCTATTGAGGACTTTTGGCTGTATTGGTGGTATTGTTTTGAGATCTGCTATAAATCAGTCAATATCTTGGGATCATGCGCTATCTTCTACCTCCTAGAAATGGCAGAATGAAAGCCGTGGTCAACCTAATTCACATGATATCATAAGCACACTGAAGAAAGAGACCACGCCAAAAACTAGCTAGGGTGCAAGATTGGTCCCAGAAAATGGTGGCTTTTCCATAACTGAACCCTGCATGCTTAATTCACAACTCAAAATGCTATATATACAGCCCTCCTCCACACTTTTCAAATGGTGAAGAAAGCTATGAAAGCGTGCGCAAACCTTCTTAGTTGTCATGCGGACAGAAAGACACCTCAAAAGTAACATGCATGCATGAGAGAGAGAGAGAGAGAGAGAGAGAGAGAGGAGGGAAGGGGGGGGGGGGGGGGGGGGGGGGATGCGGAATGAGGGAGGGACCTGCAAGATAAGCTGGAGGGACATGAGCTCACGATCCTTCTCTTTGACAAGGAGGTTGAAGATGCGTCTCTCTCTGAACTTATGTAGCACCATAACACCAAGCAAAGCAGCCCCAAATGCTAAAAGCAGCATCAACCCATACGGCCTTCCTCTATTTCCATTACCGTTTCCTTTGTGGGCTCCTCCCGCAGCCATGATCCTCTCTTTTTCCCTCGATCTCTCTCTTAGTTGTGTAGTAAAACTACAAGAAGAAGAAGAAGAAAAGAGTTCTTTCCCCTTCCTTTTCTTTAGCAAGGTATAATTGTAGAATTTTATATTCACAGGACCTTGCTTTTCATGTAAAAAGAGCCACGCATCTACTCCTCTTTATCTCTCTCATACATAAGAGCGGAGTTAACAAGGTTGTGGAAGCATGGGAACTGTTTCCAGGCGCTGATTCTGGAATATATATAAATATTTCAAGTTTCCATGCATATATATATATTTCAAGTTTCCATGCAACCCACTGATTTTACCATAAAGCCCACTTTAACTTTACAAGTATTAATTATGAAGTATGAACTTGAATTGGCGACAAATTTTATAATAAGAGATCATGGTTGCAAATTAGTCAATAGGTTATAAAATTATCCACACCAGGAGATGTTTATACCTATCATGATAACCGAAAGAAATTGTTTGATATAAGAATTGGGTGCTTATGTACTTGAACAGTTAATCCCGGATTTATATAACTAGAATTTCGGAAATGGTGGAGCTAATATAAGAGAAAATAAGGGTATATTTAAAAATATATACGTATCAATTTGATAACCCAGGTTTGATCGAATTAATTATTAAAATGATTTAAAATAAGATCTAGTCTGATTCAAGTGTGATTGGCTCGGATTACTAGGTAGACTTGCAAGTGCTGAATTAACTAGATTTAATAATCATGTTAGAAAATAGTTTAAAATAAGAAGAATAATTAGAAAATAAGTTAATTTGATGAGAACTAAATGTATAACTTTATACAATGAAATAACTTGTAAATTCAAGAAACAAATAATAGAAATTAAAAAAAAAACATCTGGGAGCCATGGCAAAGGGGTAGGCAACTCTTTTACGATGAAAAATTGATTTTTGCCACTGGAGGAGGTTATATGAGTTGCTTGAGCGATATGCCCTCTCTCACTTTTCAGCGTGTACAGTCATTTTTATTTTGCCTATTAATTCCAATTTCACATGTATGTTTCAACATTAAATTTATTCTTTAAACCCTAATTATTTTAAATCAATAAAATTTAAATATATTTCAATTAATTAACCAAGCATTAAAAAAAATATCAGAACATTTCATCGACATTATGACACCCCTATATCTAAAGAAAAAATTAAATATTAAGTTAGTTCTAAAACAAATACAAATATATAAGGATAAAATTATAAAATGAAAGGACAACAAGAAAAAACCAACATAAGTATTTTCTAAAGAAAAAATTAAATATTAAGTTAGTTCTAAAAAAAATACAAATATGTAAGGATAAAATTATAAAACGAAAGGACAACAAGAAAAAACCAACGTAAGTATTTTCTTTAGAGAAGCAATCCAATCCCTAACTAACAAAATTAATAATGCTCAATATTTTTTAAATCCTCAAATTCAAACCTCAAAACTTTAATTATTCTAAACAAATAAAATAAAATTTTATTTTGTAAAAACCAAATATCTATTGAACAACAAAATATTTTCTCAAAACTCTAAAGTCCTAGTAGTAAACAAACAACTATTGTAATATCAAGGATAAAATATAAAAATTAAAAAACTAAAATATAAAATACTTGAGTCTCAACAAAATTTACTTTTTATAAAAAATCATACTCATAATAAACTCCTATTGGGTTATAGTAACTCCAAGAGAAGACTTAGTTTTTTTTAATATATATTAGAGATAACAACCACTAGACAATCAATAGCATATATTATATAAATCGTTTGTGTTATACTATGGGTTAGGTTAATATTTTTTATAATGTAAAAAAAAATGTTTAGCCAAAGATAACATAAATAAAACTAAATTAACTTAATTACCACACATCTTGGAATATTAAACTAGAATAACCCCACAAAAAAAAATTATAAAACTCAAGGACCAAAAATATAATATCAAAGAATAAAATTAAAAAATAAAATAAATTTTTAAAAAAGAAACATCATAGAAAAGAACTTGAGTTACTGATTAATTTGACTAACCCTCCACCCATAATATGAGATAGGGATAAAAAATTTAATTATTTTTTAAAAATAACCTGAAAAAAAAAATCAAAGTTAAATCAATAAAAAAACATTAAAATACTCAAAGTTAATCTGAGTTAACTTGGCTAACTTGCATATGAGAAAACCCTACAAAAAAAATCATAAAGCTTGAGTATCAATAATTTAATTTTTAAAAAAATTTAAAAATCAATTTGATATTAAAAAAAAGCTAAGAAAACAAACTTGATTCAACTCGAGTTAATTCTACTAGTCATTCTACTAGTCCATTATCCAAGATATGAAATTAAGATAACCCCACCAAAAAAAATAAAACAAATCATGAAGATTAAAATTTAATAATTTAATATTAAATGATAAAATTAAAAAAAAAACTTAATTTTTAAAAAGAAAAATTAAAAAGAAATCAATCTTTAAAAAAAAAACTTGAAAAGACTAAAACTAAGCGGAGTTAACATTTGAAACCATTGTTGAAAAGACAAAAAAAAATCATAAAAAAAAATTCAATCATAAAAAAGTTAAAATAAAAAAATAAATAGTAATTAAAATAATAAAAAAAAATTGATATAAAAACTAATTGAAAATAATAAGTAGGGATTAAATTAAAAAATAAATAAAAATAAATAAAAAACATCAAAATTAAGTATAAAAATTAAATTAAATTAGATATGGAGGGGACAAAAAAGGAGTGGAAGGGGGACAATGGGATGCTCTTATCATGAGGCCTTTCAGTCTGCATGTTGGGCGTGAGTACATTCGACATCTGCATTCTAATGAAATCATAGATAGCCTGCAGTGCCCACCTTTCTATACGGAGCTGCCCATGACGAAGGGAGGACACTTGACTCAATAAGAAGGGAGCTCGGTTCTTTCTAACCAAATTCTGGAAACCAGTGGGCAGGAGGGCCGAAATCAGAGTTATTACCACTGAAGCCAGATGAAGGTCCAGCTCAAGTGAATCAAGCAAGAGGTGTGTTCTTGTAATTGGAGCAGCCAGGTGGGTAGATAACTACAATATCCCTGTCTCCTCCACTGATATTGCCGCTGTTCGTAGAATTGCAAAACGTGTTAGTGGAAGAGATAGACTTCCTTCAGTTCAAGCAATGGCACTTGCACATGGTGATCATGATATTGAAGTTGCATGTAACTTGTTAGAACCAAGTAATGTCGGGGAGATTAAGTTCAGCAAGAAGTTGAGAGACTTCAAAAGGAGGAGAGCATGACTGTGGAGAAGGGGTATTTGAGTGATTTCTCACAGGAAAAAAATAATTGCAAGTTACTCGAAGTTTTGTCCCCTAATGTAACCAAATTGAATAAATATTGTAATAGAGAAGGCATTGTCGTTCTTGAGAAATGCTATAATGAAAGGTGTCTCTCTCAGGGATGTTTGTTCTGATGCGTGTGAAGCTGAATAATTGTCCATGCAAGAAATGCATGTTTCTACCCCGCATGCTCAACATCTTAGAAGCGGTGAAGTTTAGGCGTCATATACTCATGAGAGATTGCATAGATTATGCCACTCTCCTAAATTTTTGTTACTGTCTCGGCATAAAAGAAATAAAGATAGGACAATTCATTTTAATACTGTATCGAAAATAAATTTATTTTAATGTTTTTATTTTTATCTATCTAATTAAATATATTTCAGTCCTCACCATCCCCTTTATTATGTTTCATCTATTCTATTTCTATATCAGTACAATAATCAAACGCTACCATATGTAAATTGTCATAAAAGCTATCTAGCAGATCACCATGTCAGTTCAGATGTCTGGAGAGTACATTTTCCTGTAAGATTTGAAACTATGATATGCTCTGCAATATGCTAATTAAAATATGATATTATCAACCCTTAGGTTTCACTAGTTTCATCTTCTCTTTTCCTGTGTGCTTTTAACACCTTTTTTCCTTAAATTTCACGCATGTGGATGGCATAATGGTGGGATTAGTTCTCTACTTTGAAGATTAGTTTCCAGGGATTTTGTTTGACTTGAAGTACAGCTTACTGATCAGGCAAGCAACATAGTGTTGTATACAATCTGGAATTGTTTGATAGCAGAGTTGCTTTCAGAAAAATGTTGAGAGATTGAACCTGAATCGCTATCTCATGGTCTGGTGAACAATTACATGACATTCTAATTGAAATCTGTAGGAAGTCTTTTTTAGCAAATCATACAAGAAATAATGTTGGTCTGCATACTGCTTGGCGTCTCAGGTCTTGACTGTAAAGTATGGAAACTTACAACATATTGATTAAGACAAATACCAAACTCTCTCTTATAAATTTGATGATTTATCTGCTTCGGAGATAAATGGGACCTAAACAACCTCAATTTTGCAGATTGCTTGTAAGACAATTAAGAGAAGTCTTTCAGCTCGGGCAGAAAGTTTTATCAGCTAGCATAACAAGAGAGTCAATGCAGATTCTGCTTATATCAGAAGTAGAAATCACTTGATTTGTAACAAGGCAATTAACCGAACCCTCTCATTTGTTATAATAGACTGGATAAGAAAGTTGCTTGATTTGTTATTTGATCTAATTCTTCACACAAGTTCTAATGTATTTAGCATATATGAAACTTGGTTCTCATTATCAGAATAGAAACCGTGTTGCCAAGAGGAGCTGGAAAAACTGTTGTCTGTAGCAAGAAATTAACACTCGGATGTAATAATTTAGCTTGGAGAAAATGCTAGAAGCAGTTTTTATTTTCATCAGGAATTTCTTTTGTTAGGTTGCATTTTGTCAGCATACCAAATAAAAGCGAATGAATGCTTGAAGGGCCGGAGACGAGACAAAATAAATATAATATTTTTAATATAATTTTAAAATGAATATTTGTACTCGAAACATGTTTCATTTATTTCCGATGTATTTATCTCTTCTATCCTGATTTAATAACGAATTGTTGCCTTAAAAAATTCTAGATTCATCAACCCAATCATAACGGATTTTTCAATTTTCTATACACAGGTCGATAATTATATTATCAGGATACACAGCACACAGATAATAATTCATTAATTTTTATATCTAATGCATGACCAAATTGATCTATCCATACTGAAACAAGAACAAATACAAGAAAAAT